CAATAAATGTCTATATAATACGTTTATGTTATTATTTATATTGATAATACATAACATCTTCGACCGACAAAGCCGCTTTCTGCTGCAATTCGTCTGCACACCGGGGTGAATCTATCAATATCTGTTCGTGTGTGTTTGGAGTCAAACCGATATTAATTTTATCACCCACGGATTTCTTTTGCACATCTTGAATCAGCAGTGGAACAAAACACTCGTACGACGGACCTTCAAGGTCACAGCCGGGCTGTTGCACGTCTGTTTCAAGATCATGACAAAAACTTACAAGGAACGTTGAACTTACTATATTTAGTATATTTCGAAGATGATTCCCGTTTTTTGATTATTTTGTGATTATTTGTATGTTCTCTTTTAAATTTGTATATTAGTATGTTATATATAAGTAAATTTAACCCAGCAATTTTTCTACTGTAAAAAAGTGTCTAAACAAAAAAAAAATCATATTCTATAACATAGAAACGTTAAATGAAAATTTTTGAACTTTTTGAATAATATTATAAATTTTCGTAGTCATATTTTTATTCCATTTGGAATAGGAAAAAATTTCAATGGTGATGTAACGTAACGTATGTACCATTAAGATTACTATAAGTATAAGAGTATATTATATTGTCAGATGTGGCAAAAAAATCATTATTTTTCTTCCTCCGGTGTATAAATATTAATAACAATTCGTTTTAAAAGCTTTTAACGCGATTATTTCAAAGTAAAAATATTAACTCTGAAAAACAGTTGCGTGTTGTTCACGATCTTTTTTTTTCTTTTTTTTCCGCGCTATATGTCAAAAATATCGTTGAAATTTACAACAAAAAAGGACCATATAATAAAAGCATAACTATTTCAGATCAAACTAGGCGATATTTATCGTCTCGTTTTTCATTAGTAAATTATATCATATATCGATACAATATTATTGTTATTATTATTATTATTATTGTTGAAAAAAAAATGTCCAATAATCGTTGAAATTTTCTCTGTTACAATGTTGTAATTTCCATCTGTAGTACTGGTAAATAATCAAAGAGTACAATATTTTGGCGCGGACATGATATTTTCAAAAGTGAATATAATTTATTATTCATTGCTAAACTAACAAGAAAGCCACGTGATTCGTTGAACCATGTTTCAATTTACTAAAAGTAATATTATAATAAATCATGATGGTTTGACAAAAGCTTATTATTCATTCACTATGGAATAATTCGATAATATATTGTTTAATGTTCCGGAAAAAAAAAAAAAAGGGATATGTTGGTTCAACAACGAAGTTTTTCTCTTATCAGCACTGTTTTACGTCTTATGGAAAAATGTCACGACGTATCCATCAGTTTTAAAACGAGTTAAGTTGGTACATTTATGAGGCTACAGTCTGCATTTACATAATATGTATTACATAATATATAGTAAATAAAGTTTTATGCAGCAGCCTATTCTTTATATTGTTTTTGAGTTTCTCACGTGAAGATAAAAATAATATAACAATGTATAGTAATTTTAAAGCAACAACAATGCATTTATCTACACAAATTAAAAAAATTCAACATGCTATCTTCTAAAATCTAAATCATTAAATAGAAAAGGCTACATTTTTTACAAACTCATGAAAAAGCATGTATAAAAACAAATTAAAGAACAAAATAGAAAATCATATCCCTTCGTAAAATAGTTGGTAACATAGAAATAATGAGTCAACACTATATTATAAGATGTACCAAATTTTATTTTTTACTAACTATATAAATCGTAACAACTTTTGATTACGCCCACTAGATTTACAAGTTACAGTTCTCAGCTTTTGGATGTGTAATCTAACTGTGTATATTATCATAACAWTGTATAATATAATATGGACATATTATCGTAGTAGTGTAGTATATGTACTTCAGTCTACTTTAGTCGTAGAACCATGTAACTTGCAGAACACTTGTCCCAATAACAATTTTTACTGCTTTTAGGTTTTACAATSGGAAAACTACAATTAATGCTTAATATTTTTAATTTTTACKAAATTTAATTTGGAATTAATTTTACTTGGGATAGGACGTCAAAAGAATCAACTTCGACACACAAAACGAAGCTGAAAATTCTATTTAACTGCTAAATTATGTTTATTATAATACAATTCACATACAGAAATAATTCAAATTATTTTTTTTTAAATATTTTGCAAAATTATTACAATTAATTACAAATTAGTGTTTAAAAATTTTAAGCCATTAATTTTTTGTTTTTGGAAAATATTACAAGTTGAATAAAAAAATCTAAGAAGAATATATAAGAATTCATTTTGAATATAAAAAACTAGATTTTAAATTTGTATTCTACTGGCCATGCCGTAGGGTAACAACTTGTATCTCAAAAAAGTACGATGTTCAGAAGATACAAAAACGTAAACATCAATACCGTCTATTCGTATTCTAACACGACTGATATGTATTCAATTGAGGATTTCACGAGGTTCTCAAAATTTTTACCAACCGGTCCAAACCATTATTAATAGATCTTACGTCCATTGCTGATAACGTATCCTGAAAATAAGTATCGATAAAAGATATCGAGTAGGCGTTTCCTATATTTTAGCATTATAATAATTAACAGTGCTTTTTAAATCGTGCGGTATACTTATTGGATAGTGAGTATAATTAACAAATGAAATTGTCATGGCTTCACTCTGGAAAAAT